CTTTCGAATGGTGTATGAATTATTTGTGTTGTTATTACAAGTGTTGCTGTGACCCCCTAGGAAAAGGTTATGCCCCGCCCTGTATGTATGTGTGTTTTTGTGTTTGTGTGTTTGTGTGTGAGGGGAGAGTGAGAGGGAAGCAAATATATCAGCAAAACAGGATACAAATTTACAGTTTTTGCAAACTCCCAACAGGTTTGGTCTCTTGTTCTGTTTGTGATTTAATTTAGGGATTCGGAACCTAAGCATCAAATAAATAGGTACTTATGCAAAGAAGAAATGAAGTAACCTCCATCAATATCTCCTAGGCATCCTTGTCAATCTTTACCTGTTATCTGGTAAGACTTGATGCTTAAAGTTGGACAACTAGCATCTAGATTTGATCATATTATTAACTTTTATTTAGGTGTAAACCAAACAGGGCAGATTCCAGCCTTCTGGGATTGAATTGCCTTTTAAGACAACTCCACTATCCTTCAATCGGGGCCTGATTCAAAGGATGGTATATTTAGAACTGATAATTCTGAATTCAGGAAAGTACTTAGTATCTCCATTTGTTTAATGGACTATTTTAAATGAAAGGAGATCATAGCCTGCTTTGTTTTAGCAATATAATTTAGGGTATTAGGAAGCTACTACTGTTATTACAAAAAAGGAGACAGAAATTCTTCCATTTTTATCATAGGTTGTTGAGAGATCTGCCATAAAATTATATCTATTCTCTGTTTGTGTCTAATATACAACTTTGGCAGATACTGTTTTTGTTAGCCTATATAAAGTGAATCAAAGGCTGAGTTTACACATGTATGTTTATTGTTCAGGAGCTGCAGCTTCATCTGATGACATGCCAGTGAGAAATAGCAGACTAAGACCAAATACTGTGGGAGAAGCAACTACCAAAACAAACCAGGATGGAAGAGACAAATGATAGGTAAGTTTGATCTTTTTCTTGGTTTATGTTATAATTTTAACCCACCGACCACCCCAAGGGACCTACAGCAGTGATATCATCAGCATTGATAAGAATGAATCATTCAGATTCTAGGTGTATTGCCTGTTCATTGCGCTTAATGCACCAAAGATGCATTCAGAATGTATCTAATTTAAGATTAATTAGGGAGTCAGTTTGTTGTAGTGGTTAAGGTACTGGGAGAACTTGAGTCCTACTTTCATCAGGCAAAAAAAAAAAGCCTGATGGGGAACTTTGGCCTTCTCTGTCAGTGAAGAAAACTGCAGGGACTAGTCTAGGCAAGTGCTAGGACTCAAGATAGGAAAGAAGGGAGGGAGGGATGGATGGATGGAGGGAGGGAGGGAGGGAGGGAGAGGGAAAGAGAAGGGGAAGGAAGGAAGGAGGGGAAAGGGAAGGGAAGGAAGATAAAAAGAGAAAGGGAAAGGAAGAAAGGAAAGGAAAGGGAGAAGGGAATGGAAGGAAAGGAAGATAAAAGGGAAAGGGAAGGGAAGGAAGGAAAGAAAAGGGGAAGTAAAGGAGGGGAGAGGAAAGGAAAGGAAGAATGTTAAAAGATGATCATCAAACTATTCCCATTTTACCACTGGATTTTAGTGGCATGGGTAGAAACTTTAGCTTAGAAGAGATGGTGCTTATTAAAATTAGAGTGTTAGGGAATAACTCATGGATCTGTTTTTCGCTCACTTATTGGAGATGCTGAAGGTGGCAGTTCCTGGTCTACTTCTAGGCTACATTAGAAAGGAAAAATGTGATGCAGAGCACAGCAACAGCAGTACAATCCCAGGAAAAGACAACTTTGATTTAAGGAGCTGCTGATGGGCAAAATTTGCACACACAGGCAAGTTCCAAATCAGCGTTTTCCTCTTGAATCCAGACGGCTGCAGAATCCTGGTTATTTTTTTTTCTCCCTTTATATATTTTCCAATGATTCTGAAGCCTCCCAAGTTGCTTATATTTAAAAAAAGGCCCTTGGGAGGAGTTTCCTCTTCATATCTTACTTTGGGATTTAATGGAAATGTGTTACAGACCCCTGGAAAGAATATTGTGTTTTAAAAGATAAGGAGGGTTTTTTTAAAAAAAGAAATTACTTGAGACCACTTAGGAACTACAGAAATGTAAGAAGACCATGGTTGTCTTGTGAGAATTTCACTATTCTCTTCTTTGAAAGAAATGAACTGGAATGTATAGAGCAAGAGTTTGCAAATGCTGGATTCATGCCTTCAGATCAGGGGTGAGGAGTGAACTGCTATGGGTATGGCCAGGTTCGGGAGAACCCATAGCTAACGTTATGGCTGGTTCGAAGAACCTCCAAATCTCACCCTTGGCTGGCCCCACCCCTCCCCTCCCCAGAATCTCTACATGGCCCATTTTGGATGCAAGGAGCCGAGGTGGCGCAGTGGTTAGGGTGCAGTACTGCAGGCCACTTCAGCTGACTGTTATCTGCAGTTCAGCGGTTCAAATCTCACCGGCTCAAGGTTGACTCAGCCTTCCATCCTTCCGAGGTGGGTGAAATGAGGACCCAGACTGTGAGGGCAATTTGCTGACTCAATTTGCTAAAAATCTGTAAACCGCTTAGAGAGGGCTGAAAGCTCTATGAAGCGGTATATAAGTCAAATAAATAAATAAATAAATAAATAAATAAATAAATAAATAAATAAGGTCACTGCAGGACCTGTGCAGAGGCTCAGGGAGGGGGGGGAAATGGGCTTCCCAGAAGCTCCGGAAGGCTGGAAACATGCCTGTTTTTCTTCCAGAGCACGGGGGAGACAGTTTTCACCCTCCCAGAGGCTTGAGGAAAGCCTCCAGAGCCTGGGCATCAACACCCCCACCACCCCCATGCCATGGTGTAGGAGGCTGACTAGGCCATACCCACCATGGCCACACCCAACCAGCAGAGAGAACCCGTTGCTGAAATTTTTGAAGCCCACCCCTTCTTCAGATCTATATAGAAGAATATATTATTTGGTCAAGTGTGAGTAGACACACAAGGAATTTGTCTCCTGTACAGAAACTCTCAACGTACTTGCAAAACCACAGAGTAATGATAATAAGATACAAGGTGATTCTTCCTAACCCTGGAGACTTCTAAAGGATAAATTGGTGCAGAGAATTAGGACGATGAATAGTAATAGCACTTAAACTTGTATACCGCTTCGTGGTGCTTTACAGCCCTCTCCGCGTCCCTGCTTTTGATTACTGGTGTTTAAATAGCAATGTTCTGCTTATATGATTTTACAATGCCATTTTAATTTGATTAGACTTACTCTCTAGATATTATTGAATATCCCTCTCTCTGGGGTACCACAAAATGAAGTTCTTCCTGACATCCCTGTCCACCACAAGCAGCGAGAATCACCTGGGAGTAATCTCAATAGAAGTTTTATTGCTAGACACTTGTGTTACAAGAATCGCACCAGATTGACTGCATCCTCTGGGGAATGTTCAGATAAGGCGTCAGGAATTCTGGGAGTGGAGAGGCCTGTGCTGCTTTCCCCTGCTTAACAACTTCCTTCAATCTAACTAGAGATTCCACCACTTCAGTATATTTTACTATGTTATGTATGTTGTGTTGTAGAATAGAATAGAATGGAATGGAATGGAATNATTTGTACCCTATGACTATCATTAAGTGCTGTACCTTATGATTCTTGATGAATGCATCTTGTCTTTTTATGTACACTGAGAGCATATGCACCAAAACCAAATTCCACTTGGCCAATAAAGAATTCTACTCTATTGTATTCTATTCTAACATCCTGAGTCAAACTAGAGAGCCAGACCAAAGACCTTCTAAGCAGCTCTCTGTCAAAAGTTCCCAGGAATCACACAAGTAGAATAATGCTCATTACTCAAAGCATCTATAGAGATTCTCAATCATCCAGATTATTGTTGTCCCAAATGTGCTTTTCTCTTCCCCCCCCCCCCCAAAAAAAAGGAAACTAGACTTTCCAAGACAAAAAGCACCTTCGGGGCATTACTCAAAGGGTATCATCAGTGTTCTTCCAATTGACAGAATAAAAAGAAGCATTTACATCCCAGGGAGCTTACAACAGAGGAAGGAAACACAAGCAGAGGGCAAAACTTGAGGACATTGTCCTTTCATTTACATGTCTTTAGATTTTGTTCCAGGAAGGAAAGGCAGGGGGATTAAGGGATTGTGCCAGCAGACCAGACCAGCCTCCCAACCCTGGCTAAACCTCAGCATCTGATATAACCTGAGGTAGGGACAAGCCATAAGCCAATAATACACCAAAAATCTACCCATGCACTGCAACATTTTAACACACCTGGTCTGCAAAGTTTAGCCAGGGCACTTTTAGAAGTGGATCTTCTCCATTTCAGCACTTCAAGGCTGGGGAAAAAAACCATTTTGCTTTTTAGATGAGCTATACTGGGAAACTTAGCCAGGGACACATGTCAGACTAGAAGACCTCCAAGCTCCCTTCCAATCACTGTCATTCTGTATTCTGTCGATTTCCAGCAAAACAACCTTTGCATGTAAAAAACGAAAGGCTTCCAAGCCAAATTTGACTCTCCTGCCATTCCCCCTTTGCCCCCCACCCCACCCCTCAGCAAGACCAAAAGAAGGATTCCTTTGGGGTGCCCGCTTCGAAATGTGGAGAGCTCAAGGAAAATACCAACCCTGGTTGAAGGTGCTGAGGCCACCGCTGTCACCGGGTAACACTGCCACCACGTCACCGCAACCGAGGCAGCACAACTGGAGAATCTGCAAAGAGAAAGAGAGAGAGAGAAAGAAAGAAAGAAGGAGAAAAGCATGCCTAAGGTCCCTGTCCTACTGTCCCCATTTTCTGCATTCTTATTCGTGTTTATTCTCATTCCTGTTATCCTGTACATGAGTGACAAACTAACTAACTAACTAGATAAAAAANTTAGGTTTAGGGGGGTTAGGTTTAGGTTTAGGGGTTAATTTTAGGTTTAGCATTTACAGTGTGCTTCTGTCTCCGTGCTGTTGTCGCCCTCTTGATGACGTCAGCTACGCGGTTTCGTCGAGCGCAGTTTAGTCAAACACGGTTTTGTGGGGGAACCCTTTTTTCCCCCCAAATGGGAGTAAACAGCCCCCATGTATGATGTTCTTTGATGCATGCGGTTATATAGCAATAGCCCTTAGACTTATATACCGCTTTACAGTGCTTTACAGCCCTCTCTAAGCAGTTTACAGAGTTACATATTGCCTCCAACAATCTAGATCCTCATTTTACCCTCCTCGGAAGACTGGAAGGCTGAGTCAACCTTGAGCCTGGTGAGATTCAATCTGCCAAACTGCTGGCAGCTGGTGATCAGCAGAAATACTCTGTAATACTGCTCTCTACCCACCGCACCACCGTGGCTCTTCTTGATGTCTTCCAGATGATTTCAAATATAACTCCCTCTATGACAACCAATAAGGCTTTAAATCCACGTAAATTTAAAATGTTTAAAAACCATTCTAGCAGACTTTCATCATTACAGCTGTTGGGATCGAATTGCGCATTTCCTACATGGAAAAAGTATTTCCTTCCTTCAGCTGGTCCTGAATCTTTCTGCATTGAGATCCAGTGACTGACTTTCAATTTTGAGACCAGGACTTGTGAGACGGGGAGAACACCTTTCTGTAACATGCTATCTATGCCACTATGTAGGGGTGCATCGGTTCGGGCAAACCAAATGTTAATTTTACATCCGGTTAATCAAACTGGTAATTGCAAGCACTGGCTAGCCCTGCCCACCCCACCCCACCCCTCCCAGGAGTCTCCACGTAGCCCGTTCATCATGTCAGGTAAGTGCAGGGCCCACATGGAGGCACTGGGAGGGCGAAAAACGGGCCTCCCGGAATGGAAGTCTGGAAACAGGCCCATTTCCAGCCTCTGGAGCCAGAGGGAGGCTGTTTTTGCCCTCCCAGAGGCTTCAGGAAAGTCTCTGGAGGGCAAAACACAGGCCTACCAGAAGTACCGAAAGTCCAAAAATGGGCTAGTTTCCGGCCTCCGGTGAGCTTCCAGAGCCCAGGGACGCCGTTTTCGCCCTCCTGAATGCTCAAGGAGAGCCTCCAGAGCCTAGGGAGGGTGAAAATTCCCCCCACTGCCATGATGCAAGAGGGCAAGTAGGCCACCCCCCTCCATGGTCACACTCCCCCCCCCAGCAACCACGCAGAGAACCTGTTGCTAACATTTTACAATCCCACCCCCGGCCATGTGTGATGTAATGGCTTGATTGTGTCTCTCCTTAGCCTCCTTCATTCCACACAAAATGATTACTATAGACTTTCTTTGTTGATGATAATCAAGGGAGTAGAGAGTCAGATGGCAATAGTGCATCACAATGTACTGATGACATTCCTTCTGCAAGCAAACAACCGAGCTTATAGAGCACCAAGGACTCCACCATTCAACCCTGAACTACAGATGTTCTCCTCTGTTAGAGGATCAACTCTGCTAGTCATTTCTCCCATGATTGCAAGTTGGAAATGCTGTCAGTAAATGACAGTTGAGGGAGAGGAATAACCATATGAAACCTTCCTCTGCTTTACAATAATATACATATTATTCCATAGAGGATAACATAACTATTTACAAATGAATTTTAAATCCTATTTGCAAATCTTGGTTGCAGTACCATTGAATGTAGTTGGAAAACTGATGTTGAATCCCTGCTTTGGAAGAATCAGCCAATTTCAGAACAAGAACATAATTTCATTTCCTGATTGAATTTTGGCTCTTGTGAAATTTCAAATCTCCCAGTTGTTGAGGTATGCAAACCCAAACACATTCCACTGAATGCAGACACAATAAGAAATTAAGTAAGTGCTGTTGCAGCAGCCTCTAAAAACAATGGTTTATAAAATAACTAGAGCATCTTCTGCATGGCAAAAGTTTTCACTCTGTAATTGTATACAGTAGGCTCAATTGCCAGTTTTGTGGCAAACCAAGAATTTTATTTCGAAACAGGGAAAACAATGTGGTTATTTGACAAATCAAGAATTGAAAATTAGAAACAGATACTATGCATTACAAGGTAAGATTATATATTTCACCGCAGTTTAGTTTGGATACCTAAAGGATAACACTACTGAAGGTGCAGCTAGCTATATTATGCAAGTTATAGAACTTAATTGCTCCTTCATTTCCTTTACACATCTGATTTAAAACAATACTTAACATGATGTCACTGCCACTGTGGTATGGGTAGAGCTAAATTCAAAATAGTGACATAGCAGCGAGATGAGCAGCAAATATATTTAATAAATAAACAAATAGTTCTAATATGAAAAATTGGAAATAGTGCAGAGAAATGAGCAAGATATAAATTTGGCAATTAGTTTCCTGCAGCCAACATCTTATACTACCAAAGTCTTTTCAACAGGAAAAAATACATACAAAAAGGAATTGTATCAAGATTTTTCATAAATTTCATAAGATGCACCTTTTTCCCCAAAAAAAGAGGGTGAAAATCTGAGTGCGTATTATACAGCATTTTTGGCCTACTGAAACTCCGCCCCCTTTGCAAAAATGGACATCCAGAGGTTTTGGAAGGCTTGAAAAGTGCTCCTGGGAGCTAGGGAGGGCAAAAATGAGCAAGAAATGGGCCATGTTTGCTTGTTTTTGCCACACAGCCCCCAGGAGCACTCCACAAGCCTCCCAAAGCCTCTCCATGCCCCCCCCCTTTTTTTGCAAAAAAACAAAACATGCAGAGGGTTTGGGAGGCCTGCAGAGTGCAAAAACTTTTTTTTAATTTACTTCAAAATCATGGTGCATCTTATGCTCTAGTGCGTCTTATATTCCAAAAAATAATGCATGTTATATTTACTTTAGACCCCTTGCCTGGGTTGAAAATGTGATTGAATTATGTGAAGTAGATAGTTGTGGCAGCAGATCCACCCACCCACCCACCCACCCAATCTCATCATGTTATAAGTCATCTATAACGCACAATAATTCCATATTTTCCTTTCTTACCCCCAGATCTCAGCATCCAACTCTAGGAGACATCAACGTTACTAATTGTGTGAATTCAACCATTCTATAGACTCAGAAAAGGTAATTGAGTGGTATGAAAAGTATTTTTTTTCCTACATACATTTTTTCCTTGCATGAAGATGATGCGATGTGAAAGCATCTTAGTTTGGATAGGAGCCAGCCATCTGGGAACCTTTTGCACGTACCTGAAATAGAACCAGAGGAGGGCATATTGAGGTGAGTTGCTTCCTGGTTTTACCTGAAAGCTTTGTTGGTGGCTGGAGGCCACTTGAAATGCTGCCAAATGAAACACCTGCCTCAATTTGGATGCCTGCCAGTTTTATATCAGATTCTATTACTTGAGTTATGGTGTCTGGAGACCTCTTTCATGCCATATTGTTGTACATCTTTCTCAAGCTAAATCTTCACTGAAAGATGTTCAAAATCTGAAGGCTTGTCTACCCACCTGATTCCGTCCACTCGATCCAGTATCCTACCACATTCATTGCTCTAACATTGCCACATTAGATCCCAGAAATAATTTATCTGAATAATTTCACAACATGGGCTGGAAAGATAAATGAGTAAATAAATACAACTTCTTGCTAATTGTTCCATAAGAATCTATTGATGCAGGTATAACTTTCATGGAAGTTATTCCCAGATTTCTTTTTTCAGAATATAGTACCAGATCAAATCTATGTGTTGTGGCCAGCCAGTGGCCAGCAGAGCTGGCAGCAGATTCAGACAGCGAGAAAGTTGGGGAGGAACATGGGCCAGTCCTGGAGTCTGGAGAAGACTCTGAAGAGGGCTCTGTGTCAGAGGTAGAGAGAGGGCCAGAGCCCTTATCAGCTGCCTTCAGGGTCAGACATCAGTGAGGCAGATGAACGGCTGAAGCCAGTCCCAGTGTGTGCCTGCACAGAATTGCCAGACGAAGGGAACAGCTAAAGAACGGGTTGACTTGGGAGTAAGCCACAGATGGATGGTGAATGGACCCTCCCAGAGGAAATAAAAGAGGAGCGAAAGGAGAGTGGAGTTTGCAGGAGACAATTAGTTCGCTTAATTTGTTCATGACTCCGAGACTCATTGCCAAGTTTTGTAGATATCGGCCCGTCAGCTTTCCAAGCCAGATAAGGTCTGTGACTGTAAATCCTCCCTTGAAAGACTTTGCTGGATGTGAATGAGTAGAATTCATAGTATATCATTAAAAGGGTTTTTTGTCAGGATAAGGAGTTTCTTTCATGCTCTTGGGAAGCCTGGGTCAGACCAGTATGTCTGAGATTTTCATGAGGACAACTAAGGCAAAATCAGCCTTTATAAAACAATGCTTAGCTCCCACAGGTACATTTTGCATTTATCATTTACTTTCTGACAAGAATTAGATAATAGCTTAGTTATAATTTTTTTCACTGTCTTGCAACAAAAATCTGCTGTAGGTCTGTATCCCCATGGATCAGATACCTAATAATAACGTCTAAGGATACAGGAGCTGACAGGTAACAGCATTTCCATTCTATTCTACAACCCCTATAAAATTATTGTTACTGCTGTGGTGGCCATGAAATCCTGAACTTCACTCAGTATTACAGTACAGACTTTGGTGTGAAGACTTGACTCCTCCAGGGCAATACGTTTTAAACATTTAAGAAGGTGGCATCCAGCATAGGTTTTATTTTTTATTTTTTTGTCACATAAAATTAATAAATAAATAAATAACTTCATTTTGCTCATAAACTTCACCATCACCCATAATAGCAATAGCACCTAGACTTATATAGACTTATATACCACTTTACAGCACTTTACAGCCCCCTCTAAGTGGTTTACAGAGTCAGCCTCTTGCCCACAACAGTCTAGCTCCTCCTTTTACCCACCTCAGAAAGATGGAAGGCTAAGTCAACCTTCAGACTGGTGAGATTCGAACTGCCAAATTGCAGGCAGCCGGCAGGTGTGTAGCCTGCAGTACTGCATTCTAACCACTGCACCACCATGGCTCATAATATGCTGAGGACTACAAAATAATTTGAGAAATGAGGATTCCAGGGGTACAGACACCCATACAGAGACACACATCCCTAACATTTTTTTAAGAACAGTGCAATCATAGATTCATTGCTTTTCAACTAAGATATATGTAGGAGCCCTAGGTATTGTGTTACAAAGGCATCTGGAACTTAGATTTCTCTCAGCCTTTTTTTTTTTTTTTTTTTGCCTGGAGCAATGAAGTCCATATCCTCTGCTGTTGTGAATTGACAAAATACTGGGGAAATAGAATTTCAGTTTGGTTCAGGAACGCAACCATTTCAAGTAGCTATAACATTTGTCTACCTGATTGGTAGTTGGACTATAAAGGAGAACCAGGCCAAAACTATATGCATTTAGAACTAGATTCATTTTTCCTCCAGATGAACAATGAAATTGTTTAAGCAATGGTCCTCGAATCAGGAAGGAAGGCTGATTTTTTTCTATAAATGGTAGAGGACAGGAAGGCATGGAGCAACGTTGTCCATGGGATCGTGATGGGTCGGACACGACCTCTCAACTAACAACAGCAACAAAGGATATCTAGCAACCAATGTTTAACTCTACACATTAAAAAGAGAAGACTACTGGAAAAAACTAACAATATTCCACTTAAATTAACAACCAAATGAACTGGAAAAATTATA